ATTACTAAAACGTCAAAAAATAACAGATGCTGGCAAAGTTGTGAAGAAAAAGAAACACTTATACATTGTTGGTGGGAGTGTAAATTAGTTTGACCATTGCGGAAAGCAGTGTGGCAACTCCTCAAAGAGCTAGAAACAGAACTATCATTTGACCCAGCAATCCCATTACTGGGTATATACCCAAAGGAATATAAATCATTCTATCATAAAGACATATGCATGTGCATGTTCACTGCAGCACTATTCACAATAGCAAAGACATAAAATCAACCTAACTGCCCATCAATGGTAGAACTGGATAAAAAAAAGGTGGTACATATACACCATGGAATACCATGCAGCCATGAAGGGTGAGTAAGATGCATCCATCTTACATTATTTGGCTTTTTAAAAAAAAAAATCATCATTTTGGCAAAATAAATAACAGAGGGATTTTTAAAATTCTAGCGTCTGAATATATACTACGGATCACAGGTAAGATTATTAAGTTATTGTAAATCACGGAGATAACCAAATTTCTTTGTCAATCATGTTTCTGACTGTAACTACCGTGAACATTTTGTTATTCACAGATGATTGTTATCTTGTTTTAATCCTCTTCAAAAGATGATTTATAATCAGCTATAGAACTTTGACAGGTGCTCTCAAATGGAGGTTTCTGATAACTTTGGAGATCATGACACTGGAATAAAGGAAAAGTGTACAGGACTCACAAAGAGCTGAAATGTTCATGAATATCAAGCAAAACAAGAGTTAACTGAATGGACTGAACTAATAGAAAATTGAAATAATCATTTTAACTTTTGCTTGGAAGATTGCTGATTCTCGCTTTTCCAGAGTCAAGCAAACTTATTTTAAACTAATGGTCTTTAATAATTGAGTAAGGTATACACCTATAAGCAAAATTTGGAGCATATTTGTCTTTCTCCGCCTGGCTTCTCCAGAATTTTTTTTTTTTTTTGAGACAGAATTTCACTATTGTTGCCCAGGCTGGAGTGCAATGGTGCCATCTTGGCTCATGCAACCCCTACCTTCTGGATTCAAGCGATTCTCTTGCCTCAGCCTCCTAAGTAGCTGGGATTACAGGTACCCACCACCATGACCAGCTAATTTTTGTATTGTTAGTACAGATGGACTTTCACCATATTGGTCAGGCCCAGGACTTGAACACTAGTTGTGAATATTCTTTTTTTTTTTTTTTTGAGATGGAGTTTCGCTCTTGTTACCTAGGCTGGAGTGCAATGGCACGATCTCGGCTCACCGCAACCTCTGCCTCCTGGGTTCAGGCAATTCTCCTGCCTCAGCCTCCTGAGTAGCTGGGATTACAGGTGTGCACCACCATGCCCAGCTAATTTTTTGTATTTTTAGTAGAGACAGGGTTTCACCATGTTGACCAGGATGGTCTCGATCTCTCGACCTCGTGATCCACCCGTCTTGGCCTCCCAAAGTGCTGGGATTACAGGTGTGAGCCACTGCGCCCGGCCCATGATTTGTTTTTAACAAAATGAGGCCTGGAGAGAGAGAAATTATGTTTAAAAACTCATACATTTGTCATTAAATTCTAGACTCATTAGTTGATTTTAAGTTCTTGCCTACATTTTAGACTCACCGTGCTTATATTCCTGTGAACTAACCAGCAATCCCTGGCTGCAGCTCAGAAGAAACAAAAGGGACGGGTGATGTAAAAATCTGGATCAATATTCTAGTTCTGAGCAATTATCCTGCAAATCCTGCCAGGTAATGGGAATAAATAGAATGGCCGTCACCCGGAGGTTTCTTTCCCAGGAAAGTAAAACCAAGGGAGTTAACTAAAGCCACTCCCCACATACCCAAATCTCAGCAAGCATAACTATAGCCACCAATTATCTGGGCATGTCACAGGACATCCTTTCCTCTCCCTTGTTGGAGGAGGACTCAATTCCACAGCTTCACTTTATCATTCAACTTACGATAAGGAGTACAAGCAACACCACCTCCCACTTCCAGAGACACATTTTTGTTCCAAACTCAACTCCAAGCTTCAGGTTGAAGCCACAGGAAAGAAAACAGGATCAGAGGGATCCAGAGGTAGACGATAATGGAAGTTAAAAGGCACAGCGTAGTAGAGTATGACTGATTCCTGCTGATTAAGCCAGGCTTCCTGTTTCATGGGTAAAGGTCATGCTAATATCCGTGGCATAAATGAGGTCAAGAAAACTTGAAGATTACTGACAGCAGGAGAGATAGGGCATATGTGGATAAGAGCGGATATTCCCACCCTCTAGGCTCCTCTGTTAACATGGGTGAAAGCATCTTTGACACCCATTGGTGGCACCCTGTTGTGGTTGCCAGGACTTGGTGCTATGAGAATGGAAGAAAGGGGAACACTTCACTTTCTCTCCCTTAAGTACCCCAGATATTTTCTAGGAAGAGAAGGGAACCTGGGATGCCTCACTCCCTCCCCTCTTTCTGGATGAGTAGCCATTCATCTTCAGTCTGTATGCCTTTCAATTGCATCCTGAACCCCTGGGACTCCTTTGGGAAAAAAAAAGCCTTTTTTTTCCTTTTTCCTCCTCTGTCCTCTCTTCACTGATAGGTAATTGTGTCTCTGTTCTACAAGACGCTCACTCCCCTTGGATACATCTTCCAAATGGAAAGAGTTAATTTCCCAAACCTTAAGCTGGATTGGGCTTGGGGGAAGAGAAGCCTTGGCAACGCGGACATGAGCACACTTCCCAAGCTTGTGTTGCAGAATTTTTGCTCCTCAGTTCAGCTAAAACTGGGTTCTTGTCATACGACCAAGAGAGATTAGGCACACAGACACATTGAAGGATGAGTAGAGTGCCAGCCAAAGGCCAAGGCCAAGGATCAAACCAAGGCTCATGCTGCAGCTCCAGCTTAGGCTCCAAAAGGTGCCCAGGCTCCCACAAAGGCTTCAGAGTAGAGACCTCTGTCTGCCAATTGAGGACAGAAGGACTGGTATGACCCCTGGGCTGCCATCTGCATGGGGCTGGTGTCCTCCAGTGCTATTTGTACAAATAAACCCGAGGCAGGGGGACAAAAAGCACTACAAACAACCATGTTTCTACAGACAAAGGCATTCCGAGTTTTGAATCTGAAGTGCTTTAGAGTCTGGTAACTCTACTGAAGACTTTTAATCTGTGGTTCTTTCTCCTATGGCCCCATATAGTGGTCTACTCACCCTACTATTAAGCTGTCTCACCTTCTGGGGTTAAAGGGAGAGAAAGGCAAAGTGTGCCTAACATCATCTTCTTAGGGAGTGATATGCTATTAAAGCACTTTTCTAAAGAGAGCTATCATTTTACTCTTTCTGAATTACAGCTTCCCTGGGGACAGGCTGATGAAGAAGCATTTGGTCTAAAATGGTCTTTTCCTCGAGCGGAGTAGAATTACCTTGGTTAATTGGATGGAGCAGTGAACCAGGGTCTGGGGATGGAGCTCCTGGTGCCTGCGCTAGCCCAGATCAGCCCTGGGGCTTTGTGTAAGCTACTTCCCCTCTTTGGGCCTCATTTCCTCCTTTGCAAAGCAAGGAGGCTTCAATGTTCTCTTTCCAGCTGGAGCTTTTCTCAGCGATTCCCAAAAACAGATTTTATTAGGGATGATGGATCTATGATATGTGCTATTGATTGTGCTGATGATTTCATGGCTGTATACCTATATCAAAACATGTCAAATTGCATGTCTTAAATTTATGTCATTTATAGACTGAGTTTCTTAAGAGAATAATAAAAATTAAAAAATAAATATGTGCAGTTTATTATATGTCATATATACTTCAATATGACTGTTAAAAAAATAGATTTCACCCGGCTTCTGTAAGAGTGAGGCGGTAGAAAGGACGATGCCCTATTCTGATATGGGTCAGTTTATGTCATCGAAGACAGAAAACAGTGCTTTCTTAAGATTTTCTTACAACCTCCTACAAGGCTTGTGCTTTCTCCTTCTCTAACTTCCTGTTATTTATTTTTTTTAAATGACAGTTTTCACCTTTCAAAAGACAGAATTACAGCAAATTCAGGTAAAAGATCTCAATTGGCTTTATTTGCGAATCTGAAATAGGGCAACACTTCATCCCATAAAACACAGTGAGTGTTCTCATGAGCTAGGCAGAAGGGCTTGGTCTTACTGATGGAGAGGGTAACCTTAAGTACCCTAGATATTTTCTAGGAAGAGAAGGGAACCTGGGATGCCTCGCTCCCCTCTTTCTCGGTGAGTAGCAAAAGCAAAGAACAAAGACTATGTTAGTCTTTCCAAAGCTACTTTTCTTTTAAGGTGGGGACAGTGAGACAGCATGATAGAAAAATAACTGGTTGGTTAACATCAGGTGACTTCAGGCCACAATTTTTTTGTAAGGATTAAAAGCAAAGAAACTTCATTATCATGCTTATTGAAGATTTAAACTGGTCTGTTTGGGAAACTGCCTGTTAGCCCTTTCTCCTGATTTCTCGGGGCAGATAACAACTTATCTTGGGTCCTTAGCATGGGTGACTCCACTTTGATTTTTAGTCTGGTCTGCTGGGGTCTGGTATGGAAGCTTAGTCCAAAACAGTGGCCTTCTGTAATTTTTATTTGACATATCCATTCAGGAATGTTTATTTTCCCCACTCAGGCATCATCTTAAGTCCTCTCTTGCCTTTGGACTCAGAAGTGAGGTGGGGGCAAGGCGTCTTTTGGACCCCCACTATAGCTCTAGACTCAACACCCCCCTCCATTGTTCTTCCCAGGAAGGAAAGAACTATCTAAGTGCTATCATGTTCCTAGCACTTAGAGTAGATCGAAGCATTGAATAGTACTTCTCAGCAAAAATTCCTTTTTGAGAGCTTAACAGTAGGGGATATAATCGAAACAAATTCTTACAGGGGAACATCACACAGTGCCACAATGGATGGGGAAATGTGGGGGCAGGCCTGGAAGTGGCTACCTGTCCCTTCTTTACCACCTGTTGGAACTTCTTTTCCCCACATTCTCCTTCTATATCCAGTCATGCAAAAATTACTCACCACAGCTCATGTTTCTTCCACTGAAATCTTTCTTCAAGCCCATCTCAGACATTTCCTCTGCCATCACCAAGTCCAGATGTGTCATCCTAAGTCTGGGTTTCCCCAGGAGGCTCTTACTTGGCTCTCTGCTTAGAGGATCTATGCCAGGCACCATCCTGCAAGGTTCTTCATTTTCAGTGTTGCCCTCATCAATCAGTTATCTCCTCAGAAACCTTCCAAGATTCTCCATTTCATCAGGTGTAAACTCCTCTGTTTGGATTGTGAGATCCTTTGCCCTCTAGCCCACCTTCTGGTAGTTACCTTCCCCACCACTCCCAAGGTCAAGTCTCTGCTTCGCTGGGCCAAGTTTCCTCCTTAACCCAGCTGTGTATCCTGTGCTCTGCCCTGGTTCCCTGCCTAGCTCATATTTTCTTACCACCAGAAATCCAGGCTCTTTTCTTGTTTGCCTTGGCAGATCCTGCCTGCCCAAAGGCTCAGCTCAAACTCCATTTTTTCCCAGAAGCTTTTATTGATTCTCCAAGTACATGCTTTCAATTTATTGAACTACTGCTTATTTGATAGCTGCTGGGGACATGAGTATGAATTATGGCCTCTGCCTCTTGGTTTCTGTCTTCTGACTCCCAAGAGAGTGAAAAACCAAGTTAATCCAGTCATTCTTGAAATCACAAACACTGTGTACATACCTTTCCCCTTCAAGCAGGTATTTGAGAATGCAAACCCAGAGATTTAAAGTGTGTGCAGATAAATTTGACACACAGAGGACAGATGAAAATTTCCTCGCTGCTTGTTGTGGTTGAGTCTTTCTAGGTGTCAGGCCTCCAAGTCCAGGCCTGGCCATTTTAGCCTTGGTGACCCGCACATACACCTCTGAATGGTCCCCAGAAGCCAGAAAGTCTGAAGTAAACACAAGTACCCAGATGGCCAGGGAAAGAAGTGAAACAACTTGTTCCTGCCTCAACTAATTGCTCTCCCCCTGCAACCTGCAACCTGCAACTATTGTTCCTGCTCAGCCTTGTGGACTTTCCCCCCTGGACATTGGGTTTCTCAAGACCCCCACCCCTGTAACTATGTAATTTATTGTATCCTCCCATCTGCTTGCAACTGATACCCCCACCCTTACGATCTTGCCTGTTTGTAACAGATGACCCCTACCCTCGTGACCATGCATCCGTAATGTCCTTCCCCTCCCTAAAATAGCTTACCACCTTTAACTGACCACTTGCTTCAACCTATAAAACCAACTCCTAACCCATCGCCCTCCGCTGATGCCCTTTTTGGCCTCAGCCCACCTGCACCCAGGTGAATAAACAGCCATGTTACACACAGTCGGTCTGGGGGCTCTCTTCATTCAGCACGTGCATTTTAACGGTAGGGTTAATATAACGCATATGAACAACTAAAATTAAATAAACTATGGTTTCTAAAAAAAACCAGGTGTATTTTCTTCTTATGGAATGAAGAACAAAGTCAGATTAATGTAGATCTGTGTTTATGAACAAGAAAAGATCACCTTTGTTTAAAGAACAATATATGGGATGTGGTCTAATCTTGGTTTAAGAGAAAATCTCTAAAGCAGAGAAAGAAATTTGGAAAGATATATGCCAAATGGTTTTCTTTGGATAGAAGAATTACTGATGATTAAAGAAAACACTTCCTTTTAATTCATACTTTTTATAACAAGCAATTTCATTGTCGCTTGTTACAGGAAATGTCATCAGAAAGACATTGTCATTTTGGGAAAAAGCACAGAAAGAGGGACATCAATTTGGTGTAAATGCAGATGGATCATTTTCGAGACAGTGCAAAATTGAATATTAAAAGGCCTTCTGTTTTGTTTTAATATAGGGTGAGGATTGGAATGGGCCACATCTACAGGGACACTCAGCAGATGTGGACTGAGTGATTGCAGTGTTTCAAGGTAAACATTATAAAAATAAACAAATGAGCAAACTAATGGAATGTGATAGACAGGATGCCTGAGTAATTACTATAAATGCTCTGGCCTTTTTTTTTTTGTCAGAGACCCAGAAGAGACTTTAACCTCTAGGTCTATTAATCTGGCTTCTATCACAGGGCAGAGTTAGTGGCATTTTATGTTCTCAGTCATAACTATATTGTCCTTGGTATGCTGTAGCAATTTTGTTCTCTTTCCATCAAAGTTTGTTATTTTATCCTAGGAATGGAAAATGTACAAATCGGTGATATCACACAGGTGGGTGTTTACAACTTTGACAATTTCACACGCAGGTGGGAATTTTCTCACGTGGGAAATCACTTGAGTTCGCAGAGGGCCAGCAGATCACCCGCAGCTGCCATCCCTATAAATAAAGTTCAGGGAGGACTCTGTGAATTCTGGACTCCAGGAAAACCCGTGGCCATGAGGTTGATCCTGTTTTTTGGTGCCCTTTTTGGGCATATCTACTGTCGAGAAACATTTGTGGGGTAAGTTATGCTTTCTGGTACTTCTTTACATTTTACTCACCTGATGGATGGGGGCTCTCATTTGATTGTTACAAAATAAATGGGTATACACGTTCAGTGTTTTCAGAGAAGTTCTCAGATTTGGGGATAGGTCGATAGTGGGAAAAATAGGAGTGGATGATCAAAAAAGAGATGAATGACACTTAAAGGAATGGACAATAGTGAAACCTGAACACACATAACCCTATTTCTCTCTGTTCTTATTCATTTTTCCCTCCAGCGATCAGACCGTACGGACGTTAGACATCAGGGAAAAATACAGCTGTGTTGCCATTTGTTTTAGGCAACTCAGTGGGTGTCAAGGCCACTCTCCCACCTCCTCCTGCCCTTTTGGGCTTTACCATCCACGTTAGCCCATGTCTCCTACCACCCCCCACCCCCATCTTTAGATGCAGCATCTAGGTGGTGGAACCTCATGAAGTGGAAAGGCCAGGGCTGTAGATTTCAGCTCAACTCCTCCTCTCCTGGCTTGGAGGACTCATCTTTGCTCTGAAGTACTTCGCTCCATGACTCTATGAAGGGCTTCAGGCAGCATTTTTTGAAGAGTGTTCCAGAGAACTAACAAAGCAGTCAAATAAATTTGGTCCTAAAAAACCACTGGCCAAATAAATGTTGGAATCTTCGTGTGTCAATGCATAAGATTTACTACTCCAAAAGAAGTTTTCTGGGATAGTAAATCTTTAGGTTCTCCGTATGAAAATAAGAATTCTCCTTAGTATGCATTATATGATTGTATCTCATGCCATATGTATTTGAAACGTATCTATGAAATATTTATAATTGTAACATGGAGAAGTTTCTATGTTTGCTAAACATGATAGCTAAAAAATTTTTTTATAATTAACATTCAAGAAATACCTGTTCGTAGATTCAGAGGAAAAAAAAAATCAATGTTGGAATCAGAGGGTTAAACACACTATAGGATTTCTGGGAGCTTTGGCTAAATCAGTGTACATTATACATCCAGAAGAGGGGATCTAGGCTGCAGCATGGACTTTTTTTTTTTTAATCACCAACTACCCCTCGCCCCAGGCTCACTCTTTCTTTCTCTCCTTCCTTCATTCCTTTCTTCTTTTTCTCTGTTCTTTCTTTTCTTTCTCTTTCTTCTTTCCTTCCTTCCTTCTTTCTTCTTTCCTTTCTTTCTCTGAGTAACTCAAAGAACTACTATTTAGAACACACACCAAGAAATATGAGCCTATTGTATTACTTTTCTCAGTGCCTTCCCATTTTAAAGGAGGACTCCTGGGAGTCCATGCATTAACCAAAAGTAATGAGACTTGAATGGAAGAATTTTCAGCCCATTTGTGGCAGATGAGCCTCAAAGAGCTCACATTCCACCACTTCTGTATTCCACCAGAGTTCAAAGGAAATTGCAGGGGGCTTGGTTTCTGAAGACCCAGATTCTGGTCCCTGTACCTGGCTCATTGGACTGATTCCTTCCCCAGTGCACAAACAGATGGGGCAGTGACTTAGGAAGTCTGCTTACTTGGAGAAAGGCTAGAAGGGGAACCTCTGTCACCAAGGAAACTCTTCCTAAAGATATACGCTTGATTGTTTTGAGATTTCTCTTTTCTGTACATCTTTATCCCTATTAAGGGTGTGTGTGTGCGTGTGTGTGTAAAGAGAGGCACGGCATAATTTGTCAAGGTCCCAACTATCCCTGGCCATGCCCCACATTGGACCACATGAATGGGGTCTGGGGATAGAACCTTGATACGTTTTCAGTTGACAAAAACAAAAAAAAACAAAACTCCCAAAACCATTTAAAAAAAAAAACCACCTTAGGTCTACCCACATATGAATTGTTTTCTCTTACAAGCACCAAGTTAATTATTCCACTTTTGAAAAAACTTACTTTTGAACAACAGGAACAAGCAAGTTTTAAAAGCCAACACTTCATGAGCAGCAGGTGTTATTTTACAAATACTCATTAGCTAAAGGAAAGGTAACTTTAATGGCGAGCTTCCTGCTAGGAGCAGGTACACCTCTTAATTATTATTTAGATAACATTTCCTGGGAGGAAATAACGACATTCTATCACCTTCTCATTCTGGCGATGTGGGTTAGTATACTATTGATTAGTTTCTGGATTGTCACAGAGATTATTGACTTTTGCATTAATCTGTTACACACAGAGACTAACAGGAGCAGAAAGCAACAGGAAACTGTCCAGGTTTTGCTTTTGAGGTCACATTTGTGGTTAATTTTCTTTAGAGACCAAGTTCTTGAGATTGTACCAAGCAATGAAGAACAAATTAAAAATCTGCTACAATTGGAGGCTCAAGAACATCTCCAGGTATTTGATCTAGCGGGAGTTTCTGTTCCCAGAATGAATACAGTTAAACATAATTGACATCTAATTTGGACTGTGTTTTGACTCCTCTGACATAGTGTGAAATGCTAACTCGCACAGCTGGGATTCTGAAAACCTGGTCTCTAGTCCCAACCATATGACATTGGACAAGTCACCTACCTTCCCTGTGTCTAATTTTCTCACTCAGAGTAGTGGCAATAAATAGACCGTTCTTGTATCTCTCAGGTTTATTGTAGGAATGAAAAGAGATATCAAATGTGAAAGTTACTTTCAAAAATTAAACACCTTTAGTGCATATTTCCCTTGTAAAATAATTTATAGTATTTATATCCTATTAATTAGATGAATTGGATCACTGGAATCCCAGCTTAAAAAAAAAAACCTGCCATTGTTTTAATAATCTTTTCCTTCTGCCAGTTTTAAAATCTAGCCACGGGGGCAGAGGAAACAATATAATGCATTTGCTGACACGTGGATATTTAAAAACCCTTGTTGCAATATCATAGTGATTCCACAATGGTTCTGAACTTGTGGGCTCAAGATAAAATGGATGCAAATTGATTTCTTGAAATGTATCAATGCTGAACTGTCTATTCCCCGGAAGAGTCCCATTCATTGCCTTGGCTTTGACTTTTATCCCTTTCAGCTTGACTTTTGGAAGTCACCCACCACCCCAGGGGAGACAGCCCACGTCCGAGTTCCCTTCGTCAGCGTCCAGACAGTCAAAGTGTTCTTGGAGTCCCTGGGAATTGCCTATTCTATCATGATTGAAGATGTGCAGGTAATTATGCCACAGACTTGCCTTCCTGAGGCTTGCTGGGCCACATGAACGTCAGTTCAGTTCCATCCTCTTTTATGCCTGAGTACTCTCTGCAGGGAAGGGACCTGAGGGTGCCACCAGGACCTTCCAGCAGTCTGGGCTCCGCTTAAAGGTGTGTAGGAGAGCACTGTCTTTCTCCCTTTTGCATTTGGCACATGCGGAATATGGTAACAAAGAATTTAAGGGAAAGGGCAAAAGAGAGGCTACAGCATGAAATATAAAGTGCAAACCAAAGGGTGTTAGGCAAAAGAAGGAAAAGAAGGAGTCCCGCTCTGTCTCCCAGGCTGGAGTGCAGTGGCACCATCTAGGCTCACTGCAACCTCCGCTTCCTGGGCTCAAGCGATTCTCCAGCCTCAGCCTTTCCAGTAGCTGGGACTACAG